TTGTGTTGGTGATGTTTGCACCGACTTGGCGCAACGCAGCTCATTTTCGCACAGCATTAGCTCAGCTAGTCAGGCTGCCTTGACTAATTTTCGTTAGTTGCAATTTTGTTGCTCTTTGCTAATGTTTCTTTATTGGTGCCTGGCACTAGCTGTCTGATATTTCTAGTTGACCTTAACCCAATGCAATGCACATAGATTAAGTGCTGAAAACTTGTCTGAGGAGCTGCTGAGGCTGCCACTGCTGCTGCTGCTGCTGCAGTTGCTGCAATTTTGCCAGCCAGCCAAGGCCAAGACTGACAACTTTGAGGCGGCCAAAACTAAACGCTTTGAACTTGTAATCAATAAATGGCGATTACATTGCCAGCTGCATCAAGATCAATTCTAATAGCGAAACACCGCCTCCACTCGCCCCACCTAACGTCTCCAGCAATTTTCAATTTACAAAATGGAGCGCTGACAAGTCAGCAAGACTTGGGCAACCGAAAGAGACCCGAAATGTCAAAACCCAATTAACGTTGCAAATATTTACCAAGTAATTAAACGAGCGCCTCTTTGGCTAAGACCTGGTCTCTCAGTTGCCCAAGAGTCGTTTCACGTCTAGGCGCTAGTCGCTAGGCGCTTAAATCAATTCAAGGGCTAAAGTCAGCTCGAAAACATATACTAAGCAACTTATATAAGTTTGAGCCTCGACTAATTGATTGACCCCCCTTATGTCAAGCAAAAAAGTAACAAACAGTTATGTACTGGGTGCTTATAGCAATACTGACTAATACAACAATAAGGAAATCTATTAAAGCCAAGTCGAAAGAAGAAAGAAAAACAAAAACAAATGAAAACAAAACACATTAAGAGAGCTCATAATACTTTTGACCAAAGTCGAATTTAATGTGCAATTTATTATATCTATATCTATCTCTATTTTTTATTTTTTTTTGGTTTACTAATGAATAAATTAAATATATATATTCCATATGTATATGAATATGAGTGTATATGTATGCATAAAATTCTTGAGTACATGCATCAAAATTATATAATCGTTATATTTTTGCCATATATGCTTCCGAGCTTAGGAAATCTTGGCCACGTATAAAACTTTTCACATAGGAAAGCTCCTCTCCTTTCATAGCTGAATATTAAATTTGACTAAGCAATTTGCTGGAAATATAAACAAAAAACTACTTTAACAGCTAGACATATGGATAGTTGCAAAAAACTTAGATAAAATAGATACATTGATTAATAGATGGGATAGTTCAACCTTTTATTTTAAAATATAAACAAACAAAAATATATATATATACATGTATATATATACATGTATATATATATTTGTTTGTACTTAATTATTTAACATTTTGTAAATACAAACAGTTTCTTTTGTTTTTATTAAATTTCAAATAACATTTTCAACTTTGCTAATCTTTCCAATCTATTTATCTTTCAGTTTTCCTTCCAAGCGATCGTACAGTAAACTACTATTTTTTATTTTCCAAAAAAAAAATTGTTTTTTTTGCTGTATTTTGTCTTGACACTAAGCTTTTTCGAAACAATTTGATTGGCATATGGCTCACAAATTCAGCAAACCTCAACTCAGTAAGCATATATATATACAAATATCGTCTGACTATATATGACCAATAGGTCATATTTGTCCGATTCCATCGTGTTACACCATCGATAATGGGGGAAAATCTGGTGTTATATAGAAAATGGCAGTTCACAAAGTCACTTCTAAGTACGGACAATTGTTTGCTTTGCCTTTAGCATATACAGGTAGATGCATGTGAAAATCACGTTACAATGTATGCACACACTAAACATCCGTGCCGGAGCTTCGATCTGATGCTTTTCGGTGGTACTTTGGGTGTGAGCTTGGGGTCGCACGCCACTTGGCTGTGTTTGTGTGAAAAACAAAGTGGGGAAAATTATAAAAAAAAAAGATAAAAAAATTTCTATATATGTATATAAATGTATGTGTGTGCATTTGTCGCCCATTGGCTTGTAATTATTTGCCCAGTGCAATTATCTATGTGCAACAAGCGAGTTGCAGCAGATGCAGCTGCACTAAAAATCATTAATTGCGTCGTGTGAAGAAACAACAAAGTTACAACAAAAAACAACAAAAGAATATTCTAGACGAATGTACATATAACTAGATATATAGATATATTTCTGTGGGCGTGCTTGTGTATGTGAAGTGTATAAGAAGTGGAACCTGAATAACTGGGCTAACTTCACTTCAAACTGAATATATATTCATGCTTAAGGTCTTAGAAGATCTCTAAGTAGAGCTCTGTGCAGCTATCTAAGCTCTACATCCCAACTGCTCATATATAGCATGCATAGGTAGATGTTCGATACATAGGTCGATCAATTTAAGCATAAAACGATAAGCATCGTTATCAAAATTAACTGTTATTTATAGCAAAATTAGCTTTGTTTGTAAACAAAAGCAGCGAACTTTTGTTGCGTAGGGTATCTCCTAGTCAGACATGAACCATTTTTGACTGAGTAATTTACCCGCATTAGTTAGATGTCGAGAATTTGGAGTAGCTCGAGTCTGGACTTGACAGCACAGCTGCTCATGTTATTTAAAACAATTCCGACAATAAAAATATATACATATAAATATATGTATATATATTTGATTTTTTAGAAAAGCAACAATAGTGGGAGACTTATACACGCTATTAAAGGCTACAGCAACAACAATAATCGCAAAAAATCAATTATGCATACAAAATAATTTCGCGTCATTATGCTATTTATATAGATATAAATTGATTTAGACGTCTATTGCTTTCATTTTTCTACTTGTTTACATATTAAAATTTTGATTTAATTACATATAATTTATTAGCTTCTCGCAATGTTAATCCCTCTAGTTAATTTATCGTAAATTAGCCGGTAGAAGGTGCCAGCGGCCTTTGAGTTTCACCAACTGCATTATGTGGGGGGCGCGATCCCAAAACCGGGCAAAAGCAAGGGCAAGGGCAAGTGCAAGTGCAAGTGCAGTGCCAACTATCTGTCTAGCTGTCTCACTGACTGACAGACTATCCGTCCGCTTGGCCGTCTGTCCCACGTTTAGCGTCACATTTTTGGTCGTGATAATGCCGCAGAGCTCATTTTCCTGTCTCCAGTGTCAATCTGTTCGCTGTTTTGCTGACGCTAGCAGCACTGCCCGGCCACGGCCTGCATACAAATTAACTGGCCCAAGATGTGCGACCGAGCGAGCGTCAGCAAGGGGTACGCTTCGCTGATCCAGGCACAAGCCCATAACTGGGCTCCAAGTCCCCTCTGGCATTAGGCTGGGCAAATGTGGCACAGTCGTTGGCATTGCGGCGCTCGTGTCAGATCTGTGTGCGATAGAGTCATCAGATGTCCACAGTCGACAGCAGTTCAGGTACAATTCTCATCGGTTCTGGCCAGCTCTTTGGCTACTGTTACAGATTCATTGCAAGATATCAAGCATACGCCGTGTGTGCCGCGTGTCAGCCATATCTAATTCGTAACTAGAGCCCGGAAGGCTGTAAATAGAACGAAAAAATAATAAATAATACATTAATTTAAATAGAAATTATCAATAAATAATACAACACAAAATTAATTTCAATTTAAATCGTAATTCTATGCAAGAAACTGGAAATTTTCAAGAACTTGCACAAAGTAATAAAATATCAAATCGAAATAAAATTGTGGATTATAGAATGGCCCTTTGGCAAGGTCATGAACCGGAATTGCTCTGAACCACTAGATCTCCCAATACATATATTAATTCAACGAAATATCTAAAAACAAGTTGCCCAACAGCCAAACGAGCGCCGCAATTGAAAATTAATATCTCAATCATACGGCAGGCACATTCAGTCTGACATAAAGACAAAAACAGACTGAACAGAAGACATGGGTGCTCAATGTTGTTCCGCCTGCAATTTAAATAACAAAAAGGAATAGATTGGGTATATGACAAGCATGCGTCTATATATGTATTTGTGATATAAAAGTATATGAAATATTTAAATGGGCGATCGAGAAGCGGGTTAGGCAAGCAGCACAAGTTGCTATGTACATGAGTGCTTAGAACATTGCGAGTGTATGTGTGTGTGTGTGTGATAGTGTAAGTGTGTGTGAGTCTGCGCCATCTTGAATACTAAAAGCTCACATATGTGTAGCTCTACACTTGGCATCTGCAAGATGAATGCCAAAGTTATACGACTTTAGTGCCAAGGCGAAAAATTCAAATCTAGCCTTGTAGAATGCCACATACAAACACACATGCACTCACACACACACACACACTCAGAGATAGCTCAACTTGATCAGGTCTTTAAGCCACAGTAACTTGCGGTCGCAGAACCACTAAAGCCAAAACCCCATCATCAGAAGCCAAGCATTTTAATTATGCGAATTGTCTTATTGATGTTTTTATGTTTTATTTTTTAAGTTTATCAATTTTTTTTTCTCCGTACATGTATATATATGTATGTATCTGTTTCGTGTTGTAGCTGCTGCTGTTGCACCGACTTGACATTGATTGAATTGAGATATTATTTTGTGTTTGTTGCCCGCTGGCTGCTGCCTCTGTGTGGCAGCTGCTGTCGTCATTTAGCTGGCCGCACGATTTTGGGGCTGACGTCGCCCCATTGTCTCGCCCCTCTGCCGGCTGCTCGGCCGGCTGCGTTGCCGTTTAGCATTTTCTTTTTCATTAAGTAAAATATTTGCGTGCTAGCTGCATTCCTATGCCGCGCACGCTTACCTGGCGAGCATAATCAAGCACCGGGCTCCAGCAACAGCTCCAACTCGATGCGACTCGTCTATCTATCGAACGCTGTCTTTGTCTCCGTCTCTGTCGCTGTCGCTGTCTCCGTCTCGGTCTCGATTCGAGCCGGACGTGCGCAGCCTGTCTAAGCAGCGCTCAGCTTAGAATATTTCATTCAATAATTTGGCAACGCGCGATTCGGACGTCAGCGGTCAAATCGCAAAAAAAATAAAATAAAATTATATCCGATCGAACGAAAGTTTCTAAATGTCTTGCAAATCTTTTTCATTGCAGTCATCTAGCTGAATAAAGAAAAATATAAATAAAAAACATATCAATATGACGACCTATATGAAAATATTTGAGGAACGCATCTCCGGCCTGGCCAAGGGTGTGGGTGAGTATCCATCGAAGCTCGAGGCTCAAAGAACAATTTCTAATTCGAAAACCCCCGCTTAGATGAAACTGTGGACAGCTGGTTTCTGATGAGCTCACCAGCGCCCGTTGTTACTGTGGTGCTCGTCTATCTGGCATTCGTGCTCAAAATCGGTCCGGAATACATGAAGAATCGTAAGCCCATGGATCTGAAGCGCATTATGGTATTCTACAATGCCTTTCAGGTCTGCTACTCCATATGGATGTGTCGCACGGTAAGCACACGTGGCGTATGCTTAACGCGATTGAATACAAATCTTTGCATATGATGATGATGATAATGGTGGTGATGATGATGATGATGATGATGATGATGATTTGTTCTATCTGTATTGCAGTCGTTCAAGGAGAGCAATGTCATGGCATCGATATTGTCAAAGAAATGCGAAATCCATCGCACACGCGAACAAAACTTGGCTCTGTACTCGGGCGCCTGGTTCTATTTCTTCTCGAAGATCATCGATCTGCTGGACACCACGTTCTTTGTGCTGCGCAAGAAGAACAATCAGGTCTCGTTCCTGCATGTCTATCATCATACGATCACCGTGCTATTCTCATGGGGCTATCTGAAGTACGCGCCCGGCGAACAGGGCGTCATCATTGGTATCCTCAACTCGGGCGTGCATATCATTATGTACTTCTATTACATGGTCGCCGCTATGGGACCCCAGTACCAGAAGTATCTGTGGTGGAAGAAGTACATGACCACCATTCAGCTGATTCAGTTTGTGCTCATCCTTGGCTACATGCTCACCGTTGGCGCCAAGGGCTGCAACATGCCCAAGACGCTGACCTTCTTCTTTGTGGGCAACACGATCATCTTCCTCTATCTGTTCGGCAACTTCTACCGCAAGACTTACCAGAAGAACAAGACCGTCGATGCCAACGGCAATGCCATGCACAGTGGCGGCAGGAGCATGAATCTGGCTCAGTCGGCTCTGAGGGCTGCCGGCGGCATGGGCTGCATGCCAATGCAGACCAAGAACAACAACAACAACAACGTCGACTATAAGCCCTATATCGATCTAAACAATAACAGCGTAAAGCCCCTGAAGATGGAATGAGCGGTTAGGCTAAGTTCGGGGCTAGCTTTGGTAGGGTTGCTTTGTCTGTAGTTTAATCGTACGTGTTTTTTTTAGATCGGGTCTTAAGTCTAGTGTTAAACGTTTATCCATAACCCTTATCTGTACATGAACAACTGAATCTGAATGATAATGAGCTTCTTAAATGTAGTTGATGCCAAACAGCAGAAGATTTCATCCAAATACCTAGGCGTGTAAGTGTGTGTGAGTGGCCGAGTGGGTGTGTGAGTGAGTAGGTGCGAGTGTGCGTGTGTCTGCCTGTCTGTGTATATTGCCCTAAGTATTGAAATGTAAACAGCTAATTGTTAATAATTATCGAAAATTGATTTGTTTCCAATTACGTAAATGCTGAACAAAATAAAACAAATATATTTTAACTCATTTTTAGAAAACCTTTGCCTTTTTTTTTTAATATGTTACTCAAAGATTGGACAGGGTATATTAGCTGAATGACATATTTATTAACAATTTAAAATGGAAACGGAAAGGTTAATTAGTATAAAAGTAACGATATGTTTAAACATTTTTAAGGTCTCTATACTCCGTACCTAAAGGGCGAATGGGGTATATTAGGTTTTTTCGACATGAAAATATGAACTTTTAAGTATATAGAAATCGTTTATAAGTAAGTTAAAAGAGTAAGTTAAGTTAACTTTTCTATACTTTGTATTCAAAGAAAAAAATGGGTATATTGGCTGGGTATGTTTAGAAATGAATATATATATTCGTGTGCATATCGAGAATTTCTTATAATTCCGATATCGATAAATCATCAACTATCGATAGCGATTCATCGATATATGAATTATTATCTAGTCTTCTCCATATAACTGTGAGCGAGTGCTACGCAACCAATTGCAATATTCTCATCTCTTTATATATATTTTTTCGAATATGTTCTTGGCCACTTTGACCTTCGAGTTCTTTCTAATCACCGGACAAACCAGTTGGTCTTCGATATATTTATGACAGCCGCAGGGTACCCAAGCCCAAGCCCCTGAAATTCGAAGCCAACTCTGAAATGAGCTCGTGTCAAGCTAAATATCAAATTTATGCAGATCCCAGCAGCTGAATTTCTTTTATTGCAATGATTAATACCCGCACCGAAGACGAAGACAGCGCCTTCGGCTTGAACTTGACTCGCGTGCCTCTTGGTTATGCAATTGTTTTTTATTTCTACATATTTTGTTTTGTTCTTTATCCAACATAAGAACAGGTTCATTCGGCGAGACATTATGGCGACTCGCAAGAAACACATAATCAACGAAAATTATAAATTCTAATTTCAGCTAATTTTTCAGTTTTTTATTTGGCTGCCAGTTAGCCACACGGGTGCAAAGGGCATATATGTTTTATTGTTGCTATCCTCAGCCATATGGATGATGCATAGATAGTTTCTTATTAAAATAGCAAATTCACACACACACACACATATCTATACAGTCGAGTATAGCTACTACAACTCCATGAAGACAAGTTTATCCAGAATTTGAAAGACGTGCTCCCTGGCCATGCCTTGGCCGTATAACATCTCATTAATCACCGAATATGCAAATCAGCTGAAAATGTCTTTCGAAGATTATGTCCAAAGCAAGCCGGCCGCAGATTCACCAGCTCTATCTGTCGCATTGGTAATCTTTATATATAGACTGTCAATGTATTATTAGACTCTGATTTGTAAGTCAAATATGTACTAAACAGACTCGCGTAATGTAAATTTAAAATATTTTACGAAATTTCAGAACTGCCTTCATTGTATTGAGATGTGAGCCTTAAAATATTTTGATATGTGAAGCATATTGCATGATATGAGTGAGCTCCAGGCCGGAACTTACTATGAATATATGGTTTGATTTTTTTGGGAATTTCCGAAGAGCTGCAGACTGGGATTTACCCTAGTTGCGACCTTGAGTTCTATAAAATTCTCCAATTCGCTTCAATAAATTCGCCAGTTTTATGTGGCATATATACTAACTATAATTAGTTTATACTAACCTAAGCTTAAAGGTCGTTAGGTCAAGTGTATCTAGCGCATTCCAAAAAAAAAGCTTTTCTCTTGCATACTTTAAGGCGCCATTGAAAATGCTCTGAGGAAAATGAAGTGTGAAAATTTGCGGCCAGAAATCGAAGGTTGTTTATTCTCAGCTTCACAATACGAAGCAATATATGCATAAAAGAATCTAATCTAGATGTATAATTCAATCAACATGAGTTGCTCAAGCTAGAACAAGTTTGTTTTTTATATTTATGTAAATAATCAAGCCCAATTAAAAACGATTCAAATTGATTATGAGGAAATGAAATTGTAATAAAAAATTAACAAAATTTATATAATTTTTTATTTATTTATTTTTGTTGTTTTTTTTTTTTCAGTTTTAGTTTTCATTGAATATTTTTCGATACAACCATCAAATTCAATTAGAGTCCAAAAAGAACGGAATAACGATAACAGTAATAAATGATCTTTAATCTCTAAGCGACCCCAAAGCACGGCCCTGCGCCGAAATCGCCGATAATCTAAACCATATCGAATGCTGAGCGAACGCACACGAAGAGTCAAAGAGACGCCAAGCGCTTGTGGTCAAGATCAAGGCCAAAAGCAGAACCGGCTTAAATGCTACTGTTAGCAAGTTGTTAAGATGCGGCTACTGCTGCTGCTATTGTTGTTGTTGTTGTTGTTGCTGTTGGCTGCTCTTCAATGATGCTTTTTAGCTTCCGCTTTGGGTATTAAGGTTCCGTTTTGTTTTGACAGATTGATCGATAAAAGGTTGTGAGAATAGCTCAGGGCTCATGCGCATCACAACAGCATACAAGCTTACATGTATACAAATAGATGTGCATATGTGTATGTATATATTTATATTCACGTATACTTTGTATACATCTCCAACTGAACAGCTGTCATCTTCAAGGTGAGCCAGAAATGCTTCGTTCTAGCATAACAATACCAATATCTGTTCTGCAATTATAATTAGATTCATGAGCTCGTCCAATCTGCATGGCAAGGCACTAATCAGCCTCATGGACCTGTTCTGCCACTCCCCAAACAGCGGACAGCAAACACCAAACGCCAAACGCATACACTCTCATTAGGGGCAAATCTTTTGTTCAGTTCAAAATCTGAATCTGAATGCTTCCGCCCGTCCATCCACATCCGTATGATTAGTTTGAAATTGCAATTCATGGAACACCAGAAATCTGTTTCTGATTCGCTTTGTTCTGTTTTTTTTTTTTTAGAAAATTATTTTTATTTGTATTTGTGGTATCTTTTCGTTTAAGCCTAAGTACTTTACGTGCCAATAAT